GTGTATTGTGACAATCATGCCAAACTGCAAAAGATACTCTGTGAACAAAACAAGGATCTTATTAATGCTAAAGCAAATGTTATGTGTAGTAAAAGTCTGAGTTCGTGAGTGTACCCGATCCTAGTTAAATATTGAACCCAGACTTCGGCACGGACTGTGGCGGAAGACCTTCGCTCGGTTCCCATGCAGTTGAGACTTTGAAATGATTTGTGCCAGCTTCCAGGTTCGCGTTCCTAGAGTTTGCTGCCGGTTTCCTGAAGAAGCCGCAATGACGTCAGTGGAGTGGCAGCTCGTTAGCGGCTGCTGGCACTTGTTAATTGAATTCGGTTTGTTGCACGATAGGATGGTCAGGAAGGTGAGTTACTATATTTCTGATGAAATTCCAGGCAGAATGTCGGAAAGCGTAAAGCAGTGGAGGATCTGCACCTTGCGGACTCTTACCCTATTAAGGTCATGATTATGAAATGAGGAAGGTTGACATTGTGGGGTCTCTTTGAAAGCAGTTATAATGAGTATGAAAACTGGATCGTAGAAGTTCAATGGCAGAAACCACTTGGGCAGCCAATATATGTATATGACAGAAAAAAAACAACAAAAAAGCATACACACACACACATATATATACAAACAGAAAAGAGCTAAATGTATCCCTGTAAGAGGCCGTGAAGGCCTATACTGTCGTGAGACGTCGAGGCCCCCACATTTTCTAGAAAATCGGTTCACAGATGGCTGTAAGTTTGTCAGCCTTACGCGCCGACCGCCCTTTATCCCCCAGGAAGATTCCTGGTACTCATTTCTGTTAGTCGACCCCAGGGCCATAGTGCGGCTAGAAGGATTAAGTAAATTGAAAAAATCCAATGACCTCATCGGAAAATAACCCGCAACCTGTGGGCTTGTAGAATAGTGTCACAACTAACTACGCTACAACGTGTCANATGAAGACGGCAAGGCATGCAGTGAAGTAATTTAACGTAAATCGAAAATCACCTGAAGATGGCACCTTTGTGCCGAAATATGTAGTGCAGGAGTGAAGAGTGAGGTGGATGAGTGTATGCACTGTAAGACGGCTGGAATAAATCATGGACATAAATCAGTGCAACAGGACGCTAAAATATAACATTAAAATATAAGCTATGTGAAACGTAATTGATTACGAATTTCTGGAGCAATTGAATAAACATGAACCCAAATACTTGATTCCTGGCTGGATTCAGAGGTTCTCTCTTCTCCTTAGTGTCAAGATCGGCTCTCGTGTCCACCCAGTCTCCACAAGGGTTAAAGCGACTAGCGAGTGAATCTGACAAACTCTATAATGCATGGAGCTGTACCTCAATTCCTCCGTACGTTTTCATGACAAGATTCTTAATTAAGGATATGGTTAACTAACCTTATGTTGAAAGCAGTCTTCTGGGATTTGGCACCGTATATATGTGGTGTTAACCGACGTTTCGGAGGAACGTATCGCCTCCATCTTCAGGGTAGAAGAAAAGCAGTCTGCTTTTACCGATTCTCACGGTCTCTTCGCTTGCAGATTTCTTATATTTTTTCTTCTACCCTGAAGATGGAGGCGATACGTTCCTCCGAAACGTCGGTTAACACCACATATACACGGTGCCAAATCCCAGAAGACTGCTTTCTTCATAGTCACCGCCGTGAAAGCCTCAAATCTTAACCTTATGTTATCTTACCTTACTACAGCACTCAGAAAGTGTATATTGTCCGTCCGAAACACCTCTGGATGTGCGTCATATCCTGACCATGCATCCTTACGTGCGAAAAATCCTGTGTACGAGTATTCAACGCAATCTCCGGAATTGTGATTTTGGTTCTTATCATTCGTTGAAAGTAGGATCTAGTAATTTTCTAATCACTATGAAACGACTTACATAACACTGTTTCATGATGACGTAACTTGAAAGATGTGTTAGATGTAGTTTACTACGGAACTTGTTCGTTTAATTCAGTTTATTGTATACTTAAATCCCATGTTCTTGACTGAAGTGAGTTAAGATTTGTGTGAAGATTAGCATGGTTAGAGCGATCTTTACTATTAGAATCATGACATTATCTTAAACCGGGCTTTATACTAACGGAATAGTAGAATAATGTGCCTTAAACATAAAGGAGTAAGATTAAGACAGTCAAGCAGACTGGTATAGATATAGACTTGTATTGAGGAAGTACCCGGTTGGAATCTTGCTAGGTTTACTAGCAAAACTGACAAAGGATTCTCGGCTCATTCCACGGTTCCCACATGCAGTTCCTGGGAGAGTGTTTCTAGAGTAACTAATCAGGGTCACATTCACACCGAATTCTACGGTATGTAACAATGAAGTTGAAATTTCCTCGTGATCAATCCATCAGGAAAGAAAACCCGATTTACGCCTATTGAATGCAAAGGAGTGTACTCATTTCGGTATCTGCTCCTTCTTCTTGCTTTGCAGAGTGATATGGAGTCTTGACTGATTGGTCCGGAGGTTTTACAAAGACTCTTATTCAACTGAATAATTTATGTTACCAAATGAGCTAGGATGTACATGAAGTAGTTAATGAAGTAATTTTGAAGAATGAAATTGTCGGTATTTCAAAGTACCCCAGCATGTGTCCCGAAGGTTGAGGAAAATCACGGAAGATGAAGCTAGAATATCCAGTCTCGCTGAAATGTAGATACGTGTGGCGCATCTGTTTTGTATTAAGAAGACACGTGGTTGAAATCCCAACAAAATTTCAGAAAATTGGGCTTCGATTTGTATGACTGGTTTTTAATTTATTTAACAATGCCTTTTAACTTAATAGGCTGCTTATGTGTTGCGTCCAGCGGTATGATGTTTGAGCTACAGATGAATTGAAAAGGGTGTAGAAGGAAGTGGCTTGTGCTAAAATAATATCCTAGCACGGATGTAATCCAAAGCAAGCGAATGACAGAGAATCTGAGAGCACAGGACAAGCTTTTCGTGCTAAAGTGATTTGCTTGTTATTTTTAACGGCTGACACTGTGCAGTTTGGATAAAATGGTAACGCTACTGACTTGTAATTGAGAAATGCTGGGCTCTGATTCCGGTCAGGACGCCGAATGCATTGACTAATGCTTTTCGGAGTTCTTCTCAGTCACTATAGAGAAATGCCACGACAGTACCTTCAACTTTAAAAGAGGTCGGTTCCTTCCACGTCAATTTTAATTTATTAATCAGTGTACCCTTCGACAAGTCAGAGTCTGAGCTGCTTACATCGTCGCTAAATGATCTCAGAACAGCTAACGCGGACACGAAGTGTGAGTCATTGAAATGTGATACTTTTTACGATATTATGAGAAATGTGTTTGTGGATAGTTTTCTTTGTGTATATCTGGAAAGCGTACGGGAATTCAGCAGGGTAACAAAGGCGGCGTCGAGTGGTTGGCGCTTCTGCAAGGTCATAGGTTCAAATCCAGGCAAGGAGATCAGCCATTCTTCCTGAAATTTATCGTAGATTTCCTAAGGATTCCCAGAGAAATATATCCCAATTTACTGAAAGACCGTTTCCACGTTTCCAAACGAATAGTTCACTAATCATCTTATATTTCGTGATTATTGAAAACCACATCAAATAAATTAAGAATAAATAAATAAGTACATAAATAAATAAAACAACAGGGACAAGGTGTAGTCCTACTTCAGCTGTTTCAAAAAGCCATCTTTACAATTTTGCTCTTCCCATTAATCTTTATGTTTCTTCAGAGCAGATACAATTCTATTGTTGTCATAACCAATCAACACAACAGATTCTGTTTTTCACAGAGACGTAAATGTTTTGCTTATAGCTAATCAGCACGAGATATTGCATTGGCTACAGGCATATGTATATTTCCCTTGGACTTCGTTAAATGTAAATCCACACCATATCCAGAAATATATTTGATAAATATTATAGGACTGAATTCGATCTGTTGCTTAATCATATGCCCAGTTTCGTGCAATGGGCTATTATGGGTATATGTAAGGCTTAACTGAAGCGTTAGGCATTTACAGTACATTGCTGACGGCGATAATTAGATTCAGCCCCAAGCAGTTTCAGAACTGAAGCATGTTATAACTTGTCTGATGTTGATGTAATCAAGGTAGACCTCTGTATCAGCTTAGGTAGTGGGGGGTAGAACCCTCCAAGTCCATGGCTCCCTTCGTTTGTATCCGTACACTTCAAGAGTTACGCCCTGTTCTAAAATTAATGATTATTTTATTTGACTTGTTCATTCATTTAGATTCTGGGTCGTATGGAGGGTAGTTCAAGTATAGGGAAAGAAGAGAAAGCTAAAGTACATAGCCAAAACAGATAATTATCCAAAATATATGCATACGTTACTAACTGTAAAATATTAAAAGGAGTGTAGCTTGAAGCGAACTTCCCATGTATCCCCACATAATCATATTCTTCTCCCTTTTGATGCAGTTTCCAAAGATCTAGTTATTTGCTTCGTGCATTGAAGCTAAAGGTTCTGTGATACGACATTGTTAGGGTATCAGCTCTCAGAATAATTTGTCTTAAACAGAGCTTCTTATTGAGATACCATTTTGAGTGTCCTCAACAATTAGACATAAGGTTTATTAACTAACTACAAGAGAAATTCTATAGATTTCATTTGTTTCCTCATCTCACTTATCTGTGGCTCTTCAGTCCTTTGTTGCACCTTGGCCACTTTTCCAGTTTCTTAATCTTTTGCACAGTCAGTAGGACTCCTTTGACGGGGGATAAGCCCGTCGCAAGGCCGCTACCGGCACACAGGAGAGCACAAACAGGGTATAAACGGACACAGACATCCGTGCCTCAAGTGGGATTCGAATCCACGAACCCAGTGTTTGAGCAGGGGAAGACACCTTAGACCGTGCGGCTACTGTGATTGGCATCTGTTGACTCAACCTCAATTAATTATGGAATTTGAGAGAGGGGGAGGTTTCTGAAGTCTAAAATATTATCGTCATTAATTTTCGTAAGGTAATGTATAGACCTATTTTCTGTTTGTTCAGGCGCGGTAGGCATCCAGATCACGGACCTCAGGGTACCGTCTGCTGTCCGGAACAACTCCGGCTCGGCCGCGCTTCTGGACTGCGAGTACACGCTGAAGCCGGAGGAACTGGCCGCAGACAAGTACTCGGGCCTTGTGGTGAAGTGGTACTTCAAAAACAGTCCGAGTCCGGTGTACCAGTGGATCCCGGGACAGAAGCCGCAGGACCTGGGCATTCTCAAGGGCAAGCTGGACCTGAGTCACCGTGCCTCAGACCACGGAGCCACAATGCACCGCGCTCTCTACATCACAAACCCCACGACCGAACTTTCGGGAGAATACAAGTGCTTCGTGTCCACCTTCGACGACGAGGATTTCATGACCAAGAAGATGGTCGTCTTCGGTAAGTAGTGAACGTTGACTATTGCTGATAATTGTAAGGTTTTCTTGCAGTCTTCACATACCAGCAGAAAATATGCAAACTGAAAGAAATTAAGGAATTAGCATGGAAAGAGTCGAATCCACATAATCTTGTTCCTCTTGTTTCATCACAAGAAATAAAGACAAAGGCGTCTGTTGCATCTTGCTTTGGCCTTATCTGTATTTCATAACCAAAATAGGACCAATGGGAAGTATAATAGCTGACATTTCTAAGCAAGGCGAAATAAGAAGGAACTGGGAACATGTGGTGTTGTACACGCGATGTTTTTTCTAAACTGATTCCGATAGAACACAAAATTTTACTCTTTGAATTTCTGAAGTCAGAGATAAGAAGAAATTTTTTTAACATTTTTTTCTCAACACAAGGACGTTAGACTTGAACCCTGACATGTGTACGTGTATCAATTGTAATTCTGTGTAGGCCTGCTTTAATGTGGTTCGTATTGCTTTATATTTTCTTCCAAATTTTACATTTTTAAACAGTTACGAGCATACATAAAAATTTAATTCTTAAAATCGTTAAAATGAGTATCTGTTTACTTGAGTGGCTGTATAAAAGACACGAGGGTACTCAGCTTCACAGATTCAAGTTCCAGGGTTTGTGTATCACTCATAATATTCGCATATGGCGAAGGACTTAGATCCAAGATTTCTGTTCGTGCTGTATTTAGTTCACCACAGGGGAATTAGGACTCTGCACTTACGTACAACAATCGTTTCCGAAGCGTCATGTTTGTGGACCTCCATTTCCAGACAAGTATTCATAGCGTGGTGCTTAATTATTTTTTATTGCTACTGGGGTGGGACTAAGTCCCTTGGAGATATTGGGTTTTCGGACTTTATCCATCGTCCTGGTTTTAAGATAACTAATAAAAACACGACGTTTCGGAAACTGGATCTGTTTCCGTCCAGTTTCCGAAACGTTGTGTTTTTATTAGTTATCTTAAAAACCAGGACGATGGATAAAGTCCGAAAACCCAATATCTCCAAGGGACTTAGTCCCACCCCAGTAGCAATAAAAAATAATTAAGCACCACGCTATGAATACTTGTCTGGAAATGGAGGTCCACAAACATGACGCTTCGGAAACGATTGTTGTACGTAAGTGCAGAGTCCTAATTCCCCTGTGGTGAACTAAATACAGCACGAACAGAAATCTTGGATCTAAGTCCTTCGCCATATGCGAATATTATGAGTGATACACAAACCCTGGAACTTGAATCTGTGAAGCTGAGTACCCTCGTGTCTTTTATACAGCCACTCAAGTAAACAGATACTCATTTTAACGATTTTAAGAATTAAATTTTTATGTATGCTCGTAACTGTTTAAAAATGTAAAATTTGGAAGAAAATATAAAGCAATACGAACCACATTAAAGCAGGCCTACACAGAATTACAATTGATACACGTACACATGTCAGGGTTCAAGTCTAACGTCCTTGTGTTGAGAAAAAAATGTTAAAAAAATCGCTTCTTATCTCTGACTTCAGAAATTCAAAGAGTAAAATTTTGTGTTCTATCGGAATCAGTTTAGAAAAAACATCGCGTGTACAACACCACATGTTCCCAGTTCCTTCTTATTTCGCCTTGCTTAGAAATGTCAGCTATTATACTTCCCATTGGTCCTATTTTGGTTATGAAATACAGATAAGGCCAAAGCAAGATGCAACAGACGCCTTTGTCTTTATTTCTTGTGATGAAACAAGAGGAACAAGATTATGTGGATTCGACTCTTTCCATGCTAATTCCTTAATTTCTTTCAGTTTGCATATTTTCTGCTGGTATGTGAAGACTGCAAGAAAACCTTACAATTATCAGCAATAGTCAACGTTCACTACTTACCGAAGACGACCATCTTCTTGGTCATGAAATCCTCGTCGTCGAAGGTGGACACGAGACACTTGTATTCTCCTGACAGTTCGGTCGTGGGGTTTGTGATGTAGAGAGCGCGGTGCATTGTGGCTCCGTGGTCTGAGGCACGGTGACTCAGGTCAAGCTTGCCCTNATATTGGGTTTTCGGACTTTATCCATCGTCCTGGTTTTAAGATAACTAATAAAAACACGACGTTTCGGAAACTGGATCTGTTTCCGTCCAGTTTCCGAAACGTTGTGTTTTTATTAGTTATCTTAAAAACCAGGACGATGGATAAAGTCCGAAAACCCAATATCTCTGGGTGTTATACACCATCGTCAGAATCCTATAGTAACTACTAAGTCCTTTGTACTGCGGCCAATTCTGGCCTATTGTACCAGCCCCAGATGATAGGTGAGGGTGATTGTGGAGCAATTGGTGGAATGAAGATTGATAGGGGAAACTGAAGTACTCGGAGAAAACCTGCCCCAACGCAACTTTGTCCACCATAAATCCCACTTGACCAGACCCAGGATCGAACCCGTGCCGCCGCGGTGGGAAGCCAGCGACTAACCGCTTGAGCTATGGCGCGGCGTACACACACCTTTACTTCATAGACGCCTCGCTGCTGTCGCCCAGTGACCTTCCTTCCCTGCAGATGGAATGCAGAAGGGAAGGGGGCGCTGGTGCTTAACTAAGTACAAGGACAATTTTCCTTTTTATGGTGTTTTGTAAGAGAGGAGCAAGATTTGTATTATACAAAATAAATAAAAAACTCTTTATGGTGCACTTGTATTCGACAAATTAAATGGATAGTTTTATTAATAGAAAACAGGATGCCATTTTAAGAATGCCGTCTTCTTAGATGTGGTGCCGTGTATATATTATGTGAACCGACGTTTCGGAGGAACGTATCGCCTCCGTCTTCAGGGTATTAGAAATCTGAGAAACTTTGGTTTACACAATAACTACAAGGCGCCACATCCCAGAAGACGACATTCTTCATAATCACCGCCGTGAAAACCTCTAATCTTTCTCTGTTCCACAAGCCATAGATTATTTCGTAATTCAATCTACAAGCTGCCACCTTTCGCAATTGACCCGCTTCACACTTTGCGGAAACAACTCACAGGCTTCATGGAATGCTGATTAATGTCCACACACTTCGTCCAGTTAGCAGTGGATTAAAATGCCATTAGGTGTTCCTTTATGTTTCATGTACAATTACTCATTTTCCTTCTTGCTTGCCAGCTGCGTTTGTCATGTGTTTGCAAGGGTCTGAAACCACAGGCTCTCGAGCTGTCCGCAGTCTAACCGCTTCAGAATGCCCCCTCCGAGTTGTTGGTGGCGATGAATGTGTGCTCTCTGCCTTCCGCTGTTGGCGTATAATGTGGCAAAACAAGTCCCGTCACGGTGCATTGGGTATACCCAAGGAGTGGCAGGCAAAGAAATAAATATTTTGATGTGAGTTTGTGATTTTTGGAGACAACAAACACAGTGAAACTGACTTAAGAAACATGTAGGCCTTTGTATTCCCTGATTTTTATTTATTATCTAACTCTCTAACGTCGTTGAACTCAAAGGTTCACTTAGAGGAATATAGCACGTTGCCATCAAAATAGAATTCCCCCAGAATGGCACCTCGGTCTTCAAAGGGGGCCTGTGAGGATTTTTATGAGATGCTAAACATTTTTAATGCCTTATTTATAATGTGTATATAATTTGTAAGAAAAGGCTGATTTTAAATGGCATACAAATAATTAACATGAAACAACACTTTTAAATGTAGAGGGCTTCAGAAAATTTCATTCACTTAAAAGGACCCAAATACATTTTAATTTATATCAAATAAGGCTAGTAATAGAAGAGTTTTGCAAAAAGCCAAAGTAAAATATTAGCCTATGTAACGAGAATCTCGAAGATTACATAAATTATGTGGTATTCTCTGGATAGTGGCACTTAGAAAGCTACGGTAACCCGTCCACGCAGATCAGGCAGGAGAGAAAGAAATATTTAGAGAACATCTGTGAGCAAATCTCTTGAAATGCGATCACTTGGAAGACTTTAGGAAACAGAAGAATAACATTAAGGTGTACATTAGGGGGTTAGATTTTGAGGATGACAGGTGAACATAGTAAAATTAGGATTGGGCTTCGGTAATAATGATGTAGGGCTTTAGAGTTATGTAACCTTAAATTTCAGTATATATTTTTCTTTACTGATGCTACAACTCTGTGTGGGTCTTGGCCTCCTCCATAGGCTCTGGCTGTTTCATATCAGTAATTTTTTCCGAGATGGGGTTGGTAGCCCTGTACTCAATCCCAAACCTGAATGACCATGGACTATATACCTTCTGACTCCTACCTTTTTGCCTGCCTGGCACAGGTGGCCCTACCAAATGCTTACGGCTCCCACCAGCATAGCTCTCAGAATCACTGTTGCGCGCAGACCTCTCCACGAAAAGGCGGAAGTCCTTTGGAAAGAAAATTATGTATTTAGAGATTTATACTGTTTTTGAACTTGCAGTGTATATTTAATCACTGTGAATGTATCAATATAATCAGATAAAGGAAGAGTGGCATGGACATGCAAACAATAAGCAAATTCGCAATAAAAATATGGACGCCTCACTCAAAGTACTACATAACAGTGCAATATCTGTATGTCAGCAGTTGGCAGTGTCAGCCTGCAATGCTAGATCCAATCACTTTTTTCGCCTGGCTGGTAACACTGATAAATATCATGAGCATGCAATTCTGGATCTGCCAGTCAACGTTGCTCTTCCCCTAAAACAGAAACCTTTTGAATTTTTAATTAAAAGTACTGCCAAGTGGAAAAATGTGTATATCAGGAAGCTTCGATATCCACAGTCTGTATGATTCCAGTCGAACCGAAGTAAATTGGTTAGACATAATCAGATTTATTCCAAATTGAATGAAAGGCCACCAGGACTGTGTATTAATCCTGTACGCGATTCGTTATTGCCTATCGTGTTTACAGCTCTGACCTAATCAAAGCTTTGTAGGAGCTGAAGCTTGCACACAGGCTCTTGTTTAATTTGTAATGACGTTTGTTTAATTTGCGTGATGGATATGTGTTCCGCAGAATA